TGAGAGTAGTAATCTAGACCTAAATTCACACATTTTCATTCTTACATGTATCTGTTTCGTCAGATGTCGTCAGTTTTCGATGCTTGTGCTATAAAAGTTCAGTTTTTCCAAGTAACCTCTATGAGATCTGTAGAGGCACATGTAGCCAAAAAATGTGAAGATATATAAAGATTTTCTAATATTTGCTATGATTTCATAAAAGAGTAAAGTAAAAAAATGAAATGACAATCGTTATTGAACGGTTGTCTGTTTACCTTAAGTACTTTTTGACATATTCTACTTTAAAGTCATGTATTTTATGTTTTCCATTTTAACAACCCAAGTTTTTATTTTATTGGAGTCTTTATAACAGGTTATATTACCACGCCCGTTGTTATACACCTGTTGTTTCCGTTGCATTATTATGGTCGATGCTAATCGCTTCCATAAAAAATACCAACACGCTTTTCTTTAAAATCTATAGTAATATTTTCTTTGCCATTGAAACCTCCATTGATTGCAACTAAAATCACTGTTGTATTTGTTAAACATTTCGGTTAGTTCACAAAGTCTACAGTTATGATAAAATGCAATAAATTAATTCTTATATTTTACGGTTTGTGACGTATACTTCCCTACATACAGGAAATCATTACGTGTCAACCACACCCTCGATCAATGTCAACTGTTAACATATCGTAGTCTTATAGTTTACTAGCTTTTCCCTGCGGTTTTGCCCGCGTTAATGTTAAAAGTGTATAATCTATTTATGTGCCAAATTTTATCCAGTTTTGTTATGCTGTTGTGGTGTGATTGAGTAACAAACATCCAGTATTTCGCATTTGTAATAGTAGTAAAATGTGTACACCATCCTATGAGCACTCTTTCTCTTACTGTACCTTCGGTCTCGTATATTTACTGAAGTGATTATAGGAAATATTTGTTACAAAACTGTCCAACTCGATACCTCAACCGCAAGTTACAGTTACAATAGCTAGGGTTACCACGTTTAAGTTACTTTAGATACAAAAATTGAGAAAAAAAATGCTCTAACGCAAATGTTTTTACCAAGAATAAAGTATGAAAAAGTTCGCCTCCTTATGAATAAAAACATAACATTATTATAAAAAGTTATACCCAGTGACTTAAAGGATTTATTTATCTTTGCGTCCTCTCTAAGTAGGACAGTTCTGAATAAACTTGGCTGCCGTATTAAAATTTAATCGAAGAGTTTGCCAAACCTCGTATAATTCCCACTTGGGAAATAAATTTACCTCAAGCTTCATTAAAATGTGGCCATTTCAATATTGACTGCACGGATGGCGTAGTGGTTTAAGCGGTCGCCACGCCGCTTCCTACTACGCCGAGTGTTGTGGGTTCAAACCCCACATGGGACGACACTTTGTGTGATCCACAAATTGTTGTTCTGAGTCTGGGTGTTCTTTGTGTCCGTTTCATGTATGTTTGTAAAGTCCCCCGCGACACAGGATTTATTCCTAATGCGGGCGTTGTCTTTTATTAAAAAAAAAAAAAAAAATATTATTCAATTCTATGAAGAGCTGTACACCATAAAATGTTTGTGTAATACATTTGAGGCCCCAAATCTTTTGCCGGGCCTATTTTTCATCAAGTTTTCCTCGTGACAACCCTAATATGTGTATGCTGTGTGATTCTCCTGTTTACAAAGTGAACGAATATCCACTGTGACGCAATACACATGTCATGCACACAAATAACTCGGTCACCCAGTTGCAGCCTGGCCCTTTTATACAGCCGTCCTTCTTATTATAGAATGGTGTCTTTTGTATAAACATAATTGCCGCTTTATTAATTTCTCTATTACGTGTATGTGACAAAATTTGTCGTATATTTTGTCACGGAAAGAGGCAAACATGACGTTGTTTGGTGTTTCTTTGTTGTTATAGTTCAAAAAAACACGATCGATGAAGGTTGTCTAGCTCAGCATATATTTAAATCAGTGTTCCAACCACTTCGAAAGTAAGTCTTATTTCGAAATATGTAGTAAAATGAAGTTTTTTACAAGATCAAGCAATCAAGGTATTCTAGGTGCACTAAGGTTATCGCAGAAGCAGGCCTATTGTTTATTTCCTAACCTAATATTCTTGAGTATTACATTAATACACTTTGGAAAAAAAAAACTTTTCAATTTGCTTCCAAATTTTAATGACTGTATTTATTTTTTATAGTTGGATTTTGTTTTTACATTTCAAGCTGGAAAAGCGTTTGCTTTGCTTTGTAAGATTTCACTGCGTATGACAACCGACATAAATACACTTTAACTTTCGGGGACCCTCTTCAAACAAACATCAATCATTTAAGCTTGACGAATCCTTTTCATAAATGTTATTTATTCCTTACTTTTTACTTACCGATTCAACGAATAATACTTTTTTGATCCCTGACGTTACTATTTATAGTTTAATGAAATTTAATTTTGTCATTGAAAAATACGCAACATGAAAATAAATTTTACATTTTGTACATCGCATTTTCCGCCGCTTTCAACATGTAAAACTTCTTCACAAAATGTACGTGAGTCTGTTGCAAAGAAGTTTTGCAAGAACATCGTGTGCAAAGCCTCGGGCTGTCTGCATTTGCAGAACGTCTACATTTGTCGTGTTTCTCCTTCAATTTGTCTAGATTGCGAGCACTTGACTGTGAGCAACATGCTGTAATCGCGCAGGCCATTGTTGTCGATACGACTAGAGAACGTCGTTCCCGACGTAAATTAAAGTACACAGTAATGGAAGTATGATGTTTTGTTAAAACTGGTTCGCATCAATATGCTTAGATTATTGGATGATTATTATTTAACATCTTGCAATGAATAATATGAACCGCTATTAAAATGTTGTTGGAATCTTAAATCTGTATTGTATCTCGCTCTTACAAGCTATTTATCCCACATGGTAGTGGGGTCAGCTTACCTCGTCTGTCTACTCCACTTCGCTCTATCAGCTATGTCGTCTTCGGATACTGGACAGTCCTTGTCCCTCAGCACTACATCCTCCCAACTTGTCGTCGGTCTGACCCTGGATCTTCTACCGGGATCGATATTTGTAGCGCCAAGTTGTCAATGTAGTCAAAATGCCTCCTCGTTATGTGCTCGTACCATCAGTCTGGTTTTCCTCTATTTTTTTCGGCAATGTGGCGCACACCTAAAATTGTTAAAAAATTAAATACTTATTGTATATTAACAATTATTGTAGGAAGCGCATTTCATGTAATAGGTGCACAGGGGAGAGTACCGTTTACTATGTTGATTTGCGTTGTGTGTATGTGGTAGAATATATTATATTATTATATTATTATTATTATCAGTCATTGTTTTAAGCTTATGAGAATAATTAAGGAGCATTGTCCAAAGTTAGAGCTGTCCCCTTATATAAGGCTACATCTAGTTGTTATCGCATTTATGACTGACGAATCTTACTTCTTCCGTGGTTGTAATTTTTATATATATTTAGGCATAAGTTGTAAGTTTCTTGTAAGTGTTTCTTTAAGCCTACGTCATAACGTACTAGTGTCATTCGTTTACTAGTATACAAACATATTGTTAAGGTTATGTTTGTGCTATGTTATATTAGAACCAACTAGAAATTATGAAAAGAATGACAATGGAAAGCTTTGTACTTTGGCACAATACTAGTTAGAAAAATAAAAAACTACGTAGAAACTTTTATATACTCGTTTTTGTAATATATTGCGGAAAAGTAGTGCGGTAGGTAGGCACGGTACCCTTGGACTTTTCGAAGAATTATTGCTCTAGGATATTGATATAATCACTTTGCTTAGGAAGCGCATTTCGTGTAATAGGTGCACAGGGGAGAGTACCGTTTACTATGTTGATACGTTTTCGTACACCCCAGGGAAATTATAAGGGGCACTTTAAGTGTACATTATAATATTTTATTGACTGGTATCCCTAACGGGGATGCAGCCCCGAAAGCGAATGTGATTTCGTAACATTTCTTTGTAATCGGTAAAATTAACCTTATAAAACAAAGTAACAACATACTCTCATACAAAGTATATTTGTTAGTGGTCAAATAACAGCAAAAAAATTAGCGAGTTAGAAATCAGATACATTTTATGTATCCCGTTTGATAAATTTGTATTTTTGCGTCCAATGAGAATACTAAGTCTTTAAGTACCTAATTAATATTATTTAACGGGAATTAACGCGATCTCTTATTTAGGGTATTACATACCTCTGGTTTGCCTGAAGTTTCGACCAGGTTGCACCGGCCGTGGTCACAGGCTGACTGTGACCACGGCCGGTGCATGTATGTAATATGCACGGCCGGTATGTAATACCCTAAATAAGAGATCGCGTTAATTCCCGTTAAATAACTTTAAGTACCTAGGTTAGGGGCTGATATATTTAGTTACTAGACACATCTCACACACGGCCGTCTTATCCCAAATGGTACCAGATTACGCTATTCATCATCATCATCATCAACAACAGCCTTTACTAGTCCACTGCTGGACATATGCCTCTTCTCAGAAAGGAGGTTTTGGCCTACTATACCACGCTGGCCAGACGGGTTGGCCATTAAGCTATTGTAACTAGACTATTTATAAACATAACTATTTATATATTTATAAAAACATACAAACTATGGTTGGTGCTCCTTGGGAGAGACCTTTGCTTAGCAGTGGACGGCAATAGGCTGAAGAAGAAGAACAAATTATAGATCACGACACAGAACAAATGACCATGTTCATCACACAATTATTTATCTTGGGTTTAATCGAACTCACGTCCTCTGCTCAAGAATCAGGACCACTTGTCACCAGATAAATAATAGGCCAGTTTTTATTTAATGGAATCCACGCAAGCGCTAAATCACTCCTGTCATGTTTAAAGGTGCGTCAAAAAGGATTTTGAAATAGGCCATGCCTGTTTGTATGTAGTTTGTTCCATTTTTTTTATTTATACACAATAATCGTTTGTAATTTCAACCCTAAATTTTCTTTTCCTTTTTTACCCCTAGCTGCACCATTCTTCACGGTTGAACCAGAATTCCAAAATAAGGCTGAGGGTGAGACTGCGGAGATTAGGTGTGAGGCCGAAGGTACTCCAGTACCGAAAATCACATGGATCCACAACGGCAAACCTATAGAGCAAGCGGAGCCGAATCCAAGGAGACAAGTTACCTCAAACTCGATCATCATTACAAATCTGGTGAAGAAGGACACTGGAAACTACGGCTGCAACGCTACCAGTTCCATCGGATACGCTTACAAGGATGTCTACATCAACGTTCAATGTGAGTACCTTCCTTTTTTAAACTTCTGTCTTCGGATCTGTATGGAAGTGATGATAGAAGCGATCTAGATGTTGTCTATGTTCTTTTTTCAGCATACTTTTTACAGGCATTTATTCCAGACTGCACGGATGGCGTAGTGGTTTAAGCGGTTCTATTGCGCCGAGTGTTGTGGGTTCAAACCCCACATGGGACAACACTTTGTGTGATCCAGAAATTGTTGTTCTGAGTCTGGGTGTACTTTATGTCCGTTTCATGTGTGTTTGAAAAGTCCCCCGCGACACAGGATTTGTTCCTAGTGCGGGCGTTGTCTTTTAAAAAAAAAGAGAAAAGAAAAACAGAATCGTAATTTAATAGTAATAATAGTAAATAAATATAATTTTAAATGTAAATTGTGACAGAATTAATTTAGGATGTCAAAATTATAACTGAATAAGTAGTAACTTTAGACTTTAGAAAAATCTTCAAAATAAAAATCCAAACATAAAAGTTTCTTATTCAATAGTTGAAATAATAGTGAACATACTCGTTTTGCTGCTACGAAATTGTATATTAATAGAATTCAAATATTTTATAGTTGTTTACTGTCATTATTTTGCCACAAATAACTATGCAAATCATTGCATGTAAATTGAATTAATTTAGCATAAATATGAGCCACTTCCAGTGATGATTTAACTCTGCTAGCGTGCGCTTAAGTTTCCAACTACTAGACTAGTATCACCTCTTGCCAATATTTTGCCGACTTCAATGCAGACAGACTATAGAATCACATCATCACATCAACAGCCTTTAATAGTCCGTTGCTGGACATAGGCTCATTAAAAAGGAGGTTTGGGCCTACTATATCACGCTGGCCAGACGGGTTGGTAAAGGGTTTCTTTCAAATTTTCCTTCTCTATGAAGTACTGTTGTCCTACGTAGTTTGCTCCCTTAATCGGCTCTTACGACACCCACGGGATGAATAGGGGTGGTGACACTCCGTATTCTTAATCCGTCACCGCACGGAAATATAGAATATTTCTCCTATATTTAAATTCCAAGTTCTATATAACAGTTATCCTACACTTTAGTTTGTTAAAATTAAGACATAGACCGGATGATCTGTCTCCACCGGTTCCTGCCAGCACGTTTTTTTACAGCCATGTAAATTGGGGGACGATGGGTCTTTCACTTGGTCGGATCTTTTGATTTCAGTTTCCCTAACTATAATAAGTTTCTCTATATTTCGCCTCGCCTATAATACATGTTGGACAACCGAGTTGAGTTGAGTGGACAAGAGATTAGATACACAGAACTTACTTGAAATAAGAATAAGATACTTAAAGTCATAGACTGATTTTATTTAGTTATGCTTTATAAAGAGATATTTAACATCCACATCAGTTAAATAGTTAACGATATATTTTACTATACCAAATTGATTACTCCAAATCGATATTGCATTAAGTAATACTCTTTTAACTGTACGGATGGTGTAGTGTTTTAAGCGGTCGCCACGCCGTTTACTACTACGCTAAGTGTTGTGGGTTCGATCCCCACATGGGTAACACTTTATCCACAAATTGTTGTTCTAAGTCTGGGAGTTCTTTGTGTCCGTTTCATATATGTGTGTAAAGTCTCCCGCGACACAGGATACTATCCTAATGCGGGAATAGTCTTTTTAAAGAAAAAAAAGTGCCTAGCGAAGTTGTCTGTTTTTTTAAATGCCTTTTGTTATATTTTAAAAAGAAAGCATTTTATTAGATAGATCAGATGAAGATCCTCTTGGTTTAGAAAATACAGTTACGGTTCATCTACTTCCTAATGTTTATCACGTTTATCATCTGACTTCATTTTGTCAATACTGTTTAAAATGTCGTGTGTTTGACCCTTATTATTAGATGAGTACGAATGACGTCCTTGAAAAGCAATTTCAGTAATTAATTTATTTGTCGGACAATCCAGTTTAGCATTTCACGTACATCTTTACATAGTATAAAATAAAGTCGCTTTTTTGTTGTACGTACTACGTAGAGAGAGTGATTCAAGTGAATTACGAGTATATGTACAAAACATGCATATTATAGTAGAGAAAATCCGAGAATTTCAAAGATTTGTCTTAAAAAACATGGTTTTACGCGCTCACATTGCAAACGCTGGTTAATCCTTACGAGACAGACTAAAATAATGCACTACGGAATTGTATATCTTAAAAAGATCTACAAAAAAGTCCGCGATGGTATATGTCTATCTCCTAAGGATAACCCACAGTAACCATTTTTATCTTTTAAATATTACAAGAACAAATACATTATTATTCCTTACCCAATTAAATGCGATAGGTACGTTGTGCATTTAATGTAGATTAAAATTGATCTATACAGCATATCATTAACGGAATATTTTAAAAGAGATTTAAAATTCGGGGCATAGCGGCCGTCGCTGCTCTAGGCTGTACGTACGTCGCCATTGGCGGCGGCCGACAGGATCGGAGCGGGGATATTTATATTGCATAATATATGAAGATGTCCTGGGCCTCAATTCTGCTATTTTATGTTCACGCCAAGCCACTGTCATACCACTGACACGCTATCGAGATGCCATCGAGTGGCCATTGGCATCGGTATAAATATCGGTAGTCTACACTAACTAAACAACAACAAAAACAGCAACGATAATTCTCAAATCACAAATCAGCCCTAGTAAGGAAAAGGGCTGGATCCGTATTCCTAGAACATAGATTTAAAATTTAGGTACTATAGTTTTTTATAGTATAGGTTTGTAATTATTTACGTATAGATATGTAATAACGCGATGATCCAAAACAGAAGTCACTGACCAAGATTTAAGTCAAGATCGTCTACACCTAATATTTTTAATTCTAATTCATTGGCAACGCTACCCGACTTGCACAATTGAACTCTAAGCGTAGAATTAAACAAATAATTCGGCAAAGCTAACTCGTGTTATGTTGTAATCACTTCCCTTCTGAGATTTTAGTAAAAAAAGAAACAAATTAAAAATAACCACACGGTTATTTAAAGTACGACCGAAGACATCACAAAATGTTTTGCTCACCAAGCGATGCGCATTCTCAGCGCGTCGAGTCGTGTAATTTTATCATAACTTTAAAGTTATCTAATATAATATTTGTTTTCATAAGGTTTATTAAATGTTATATAATTTAATCATCATTACATCATCACTGTCATCTCTCTTTTTTTTTTTACTAATTTCTCACTCTCACCGATTACGTGACCATCTTTGTAAATTAATTCAAAGCCAAATATAGCCTTGCAATTATGATATCTTACGTAATTCAAATATGAATATGGCATTGGTTGTGTTATCATTTTTAATGACATCATTAATTCTAACGGCACTAGCATTTAAGAGTCATATCCTACCGCGCCCTGGCACGTGACGCCATCGAACAGAGCTAGGAAAACAACATATCGGTGTTTAAAAGTCTTATAATAAAAAAAACGGCTCTTTAGACCTTAATAATGCAGCAAACTTATGATGTTACAGGAATGAATGAGGTCCCACTCCTCCCCCTAATACTGGAGGGTAGTTGTAGGTGTCCATGGATGTTAGTAGTCACTTACCACCAGACGACCTAGTGCAAGTTTAGTTCACACTAGCTGACCCGCGCAACTTCGTCTGGGTCTCTCAATAGTAATAAATTTTCTCCGTTTTCAAAACATTCTTCATTGGTGCTCCGCTCCTATTGGTCTTAGCGTGATGATATATAGCCTATAGCCTTCCTCGATAAATGGGCTATCTAACACTGAAAGAATTTTTCAAATCGGACCAGTAGTTCCTGAGATTAGCGCGTTCAAACAAACAAACAAACTCTTCAGCTTTATAATATTAGTATAGATTTACGCGATAGGCACGGTGACCGCGTTTGGCGCTGTGATTGACCTGCGCTGAAATCTTACCCAAACGCAACGCCTAAAAGATGTTAAAATTAATAGAAAATCTTTTAGCATATTTTGGTGACGTGGACAATAAATGAGTATCTACAATGATAATACAAAGTTTGATTAAAGGTGTTTTCTCTTTTAAAATTGACATATCCATCTATCTATCTATCCCGTATTCCGTTTGAGTTTCATAACTTCAGTATAGATATGTTCCTATATACCACGTTGCGGTTTTAGTTCGATTATATTTGGATTGTAATTTAAGTAACTTGATAGCTAGTAGTACTTGAAGTAATACTTCATGTTAATTCATTTTGAATTTAAACAATTTTATTAAATCTTGTCATGTAATACCTACAACTGAACTTAATCTCATCCTAAATCCCAACTCGCCAACACAACTTCATAAGCCTGGCTCAATAAAGAAAACATTTTTATTATACGTTTCCTTTCTTTACAATTTGTACTTTACCCAACTTTTATAAGGAAACGACAAAGCTTAGCCACCATAAACTGTCACTCATAGTTAATTTTGACCCTTATTCATGCATACAAATGTGTCATACAAACGAAATTGAACCATATCCTCGATAAAATATAAATCAAATTCACTTCTTAAGTGTAAGTAGTTCGTATTTGCCCCAGCCAGCAATAAATGAACTCATAAATACTGACAATAAGTCTTATCATCTCGGAAAAAAGTTATGAGAGCGCGTCATAGTTGATCTACCATATAGAATAGGGTAGGAATAGATTCCCTCATTGAATAAAATGAATAAACTTCAATAAAAGTGTCAGAGATTAATTCACTACCGCTAAACGAAATAAAATATACTATGTGGTCTGATGTCTATCGTGTTGGCAACTATGTAAGAAAGTCGGAAATTGTTACCACTGTTCGTGTATATGTGTAGTTTAGTAATGAGTTTCTGTTGCAATATGTTATCGATTACGTTTTGTTGAGTTTGTTCGAGTTGTTTAGTAAGCTTATTTGTAATGAATCGAGATATTTTCCTTACCGTCTGTATTCCTTTTAGTTTTACATACCGTTGAAAAGTCGTTATTCTGAGTCATGTGCAGTGCCGTTTGTCT